AATTTGAGTAAGGTACTAGAACAAATTCTAACAGAAGTAACTAAGTTTAATCATACAAATAATATGAGTGCAAATAAAGATAAGACAAAAGAGAAGAAAAGCATTGTATGCTTTAACTGTGGAAAACAAGGACACATAGCTAGGGAGTGCAGAAAGAATAGACGTGGACCTGAAACAGATGACAACCAACGGCAAAAATATTCGTATAATTATGCAACTTATCGTGAGGCAAATGTCAGCACGAATCCTTTAAACATGACAGGACCGGCTCTTGGGGCCAAAGAGCGGTCCCAGACCCAGTAAGAGGCCAACAGTCTGAGACTGATAACTGCGAAGAGCAAGAAGAACAAAAGGAAAGTAACATTACAGTAAAACAAAGACCAATAAGAAGGAAACGTGAGTTATGTCCAGGTATTTATATTAAAGGAGAAGTCGAAAATATACCGGTTACATTTACAGCAGACACAGGGGCATCAGCTACAGTATTAGCAACAAAAGTTTATAATAAACTTGAGGAAAATAAAAAACCAACACTGCGGAAATCAGCATGCTTATCAGGAGCAGGAGGCTTACCACTTAATGAATTGGGAAAGGCAGAGTTTAACTTCAAGCTAGATACGCTTGAACTTAAAGGTGAAATGATAGTTGCAGATATTGAAGATGAGTGTTTGGTTGGAGTTGATATATTACAGAATAGCGAGAAGGGCCCCGCAGATCTATTGTTAAGCAAAGGACTCATAGTTTTCGATAAACATAAGATACGCTGCTCTCAAATAGGTCTACCAGAAAGCATAAGGAAGGTTACAGCTGCAGATGATTTTACAATACCAGCCATGTCAGAAGCCGTTATAGATGTATTTGTCAAAAGAGATGAAAGTGACGAAGATGACAAAAACGCAAATTATATTATTGAGCCTACTGAATGCTTTAAAGAAACTTATCCTTTGCAAATGGCAGCAACATTAGTAAACTTGAATTCTTCAGCTACACAGAAGGTGAGACTCCTGAATCCTTTCTCATCAGAGTTCACAATAAAACAAGATGCATTTATAGGAGCAGCTGAAAAGATTGTTGATATTGCTAAGGTATTAGCTACAAGTGAAGGAGTTGTTGATGATGAAAACAACTGTTGTATTAGAAAGATACAATTGAGTGAGCATAAAGAAGATGTCTCACAGATTTTTGAAACAAATATCGGAGCAAACGTTGCTGTACCAAAACATGTTAAAGAATTATTCGAAAGAGCTAGTAAAGGTAGGTCTGACACTGAGATAGCACTGCTTGCAAAACTTTTAAATAAATATGCAGATACATTTTCAAAAGACGAATGGGATATTGGCTTAACAAATCTCACTGAACATTCTATTAACACCGGTAACGCACTGCCAATAAAACAACCTCCAAGAAGAGTACCTCTTGCATATGCTGCAGAGGAAAAGAAAGCTATAGAAGATATGTTAGCAAAAGGTGTGATACGTAAGAGTACTTCCCCCTGGGCCTCGCCTATTGTTCTTGTCAAAAAGAAGTCAGGTGCAGTTAGACCATGTGTAGACTACAGACGTCTTAATGAGTTGGTTAAACCGGATGGCTTTCCAATGCCTCGAATACAAGATTGTCTTGACTCCGTGTCCGGTGCTTGTTTGTTCTCGACGTTTGATTTAACAAGTGGGTATTTCCAAATACCGCTGAAAGAAGAAGATATACCGAAGAGCGCATTCGCATGTAAATATGGGCATTATGAGATGACTCGTATGCCATTCGGGTTAAATAATTCAGCAAGCACATTTCAACGAACCATAGAATTGGCGTTACAGGGTCTGCAATGGGAAATTTGTTTGATATACATAGACGACATTATTGTATTCGGTTCAACATTTGAAGAACACATTTACAGAGTAGAACAAGTTTTAGAAAGGATAAAAGCTGCAGGACTTAAACTCAAGCCAGAAAAGTGTGAAATGCTACAACAGGAAGTTGTTTTCCTAGGACATATAATATCTAATGAGGGTGTTCGACCAAATCCTGCCAACATTTCGAAAGTTATAGCGTGGCCCAGACCTAAAACAGCCAAACAAATTAAAAGTTTTGTAGCATTAGGCTCTTATTTTAGAAGGTTTATAAGAAATTATGCTCAAATTGCAAGGCCTTTAGTAGAACTGACAAAAAAGGGTCAGAAATTTATGTGGTCAGAGGCGTGCGAGAAATCATTTAATGGCATAAAAGAGGCACTTATAAGCTCAGAAATAATGGGTTATCCGAAGAATGAGGGCGGAGAATTTATTTTAGATGTTGATGGATGTGACACAGGCATAGGAGGAGTCCTATTACAAATACAAGACGGAAGAGAACGCGTTATTGCATATGCAAGTAGAGCATTAAACAAAGCTGAATCAAATTATTGTATCACAGAAAAGGAATTGCTGGCAGTAAGATACTTTGTTGAGTACTTCAGGCAGTATTTGCTGGGAAGAAGATTTAAAGTCAGAACCGATCATCAAGCCTTGGTTTGGTTATTTAAGTTACGTGAACCACGAGGGAAAATCGCAAGGTGGATTGAGATCTTATCGCAATACGATTTTTCGATTGAATATCGGCCAGGGGTGAAACAAGGACATTGCGATGCTCTTTCGAGATGCGAAAACCCAAAAGATTGCGATTGCCCTCTTGTTGATATGTGCGAATCTCTGAAGTGCGGACCATGCAAAAAGTGCATGAAAAGAGCCGAGTCCATGGAACTGAGATGGGAAATTGAAAATGGGCCTGAACAGAAAGAAACGGTACAAACCGCAGGTCTCGAGTGTAACAACAAGGCAAAAAGAACTGATTCTCTTAATCCAGAATGTTGTCCAGTAAAAATGGTCAATGTCTCTGATGAGGAGATGCCATCAACAAGCAGCGATGTTGTCGTTGATAAAACCATTACCAGAAATGATGATCATATGCGAGCAGCACAATTGCAAGACGTTGATGTAAGCCTAATCTTAAAGGCTAAAGAAGAAAATTTAAAGCCATCGAGCAAAGAAATGGTTGGTAAAAGTGCGATATCAAGACATTACTGGATTTATTGGGATTCTTTGTTAATACACAATGGCGTTCTGATGAAAAACTTTAAGAAAAAGGATGGAACAGGAGAATTTAAACAAGTAATTATTCCTACATGTATGAAAAAAGACGTGCTTTATCAGATGCATGACTCCCTATTATCTGGTCATATGGGAGTTAAGAAAACGAAAGAGAAATTGGCACAAAGATTTTATTGGTTTAATATGAAAGAAGATGTAAAAATGTATGTTAAGCAATGCGACATTTGTGCGAGTAACAAGAGGCCAATTAAAGTGCCAAAAGCTCCGCTAGGATCGCTTAAGGCTGGTGAACCTTGGGACGTGTTAGCGACAGATTATGTAGGACCGCTTCCACTTTCGCCAAGAGGAAACAGATATATATTGGTGTTAACCGATCACTTTACTAAGTTTGTAGAGGTAATTGCTGTCCCTGATCAGTCAGCAGAAGTTTGCGCTTCAAAAATTTTAAATGAATTTGTTGCGCGATGGGGGTGTCCTCTCAGCATACATAGCGATCAAGGCAGAAATTACGAGAGTAAGGTTTTCAAGGAACTATGTCGAATGCTGGAGATAAAGAAAACACGTACAAGTGCAAGGAATCCAAAATGCAATGGCGTTTGTGAAAAAATTAATGCAACTATAATAAAAATGATTAAAGCTTACCTCTGTAATGAACAAGAAAATTGGGATCTAAATTTAGGTTGTATTGCTGGTGCATACAGGGCAACTCCCAACGAAACAACTAAACTTAGTCCCAACCTACTTACAATGGGAAGAGAAATAAGACTACCAGCAGAGTTGGTATATGGGAGTATGACCACAAAAGGAAAAGAGGTCACCTCATATGGTGATTACATAGATAATCTTCGCGAAAAGATGCAGCATGCACACGAAATTGCGAGGAAACATATAGGAGAATCAGCTGATAGAAGTAAGGATATCTATGATGCGAAGTTGATGGTAAATGCGTACTCCGAAGGTGATATCATATGGTGTTTACTGGAAAACAGAAAAGTCGGTGTAAGTCACAAATTAGAGCCGATGTATGATGGTCCTTTTATGGTGAAGAAGAAAATGTCTGATATCAATTTTGTTATTCAAATGGATAAACATGGTAAGGAAAAGGTGGTTCACCATAACAAGCTAAAACCATATGAAGGAAACAACGCTCCAAGATGGATAGCTAAAGCTCGTAAAAAGATATCAGATGATCAGAATGCCTAGAAGAAAAGTTTCATTGATACATTGCTTGAACATATTGTTATAAATGTATTATTGTTTCTTCATATGATTAAACTGAGAAAAGATAATTAAATCTTCATATTTTTTTCTATCAAGATTCTCCCAACTTTTCGTTATTCGGGTCAAGCGTTTAATTTCTACTATGTAAAAAGTTTTATTGAGGAAGGCGCCGCGTTTGAAAAGAGAAAACCCTCTATCTTCCGAAGCAAATGTCGAATTAGAAGTCATTTTGAGATGTCAATTATGCGAAGTTTATATATATGGTCATTGATTCGCAATACGATAGAAAACAACATTTCACGCGAAAGAGGTGTCGGTGACTTTAATGGCAACGTATTATAAATGTTTGCTTATCATTGCCATTATTTTTGCAGTATCATGGAGAAAGCAAGTCATAGAGGTAGAGCATATAGATGCAGACATTGCCAGAAGAAAGGAAAGACAGAGATCAACACCAAGCAGCGTCTGGAAGACCATGTTTATGTCTCTAATGATGAGCAGCCACAATGATGTAGGCTTTGTCTGTTCAGAAGTCGAACTCGGGATGGTTTGTCGGCACACGTCGATAGTTACGCTAGGCATAGAAATGTTATGATAGAGAAAGGCGTAAAACATTCCAGACCGTTCCTAGTATCATCTTTGAACCCCTACATTGTATCGGAGAAAGACATAGAAATGTTGTCTTAGGATGAAAGCATGAACTGGTGGGTGAAGAAAGAGTTCCCTAGGGATAGAGATAATATATTAGAAATAGCAATGCAAGAGGCGCATATAGTCGCTTCACCAGAAATTCAGATTTTTGAGAATGAGACAGAGAGAGAAGTGGAGGGCTTGTTGGGAGAGGAATCCGTGGTTAATGATGATAATGATACGTGGGTAGAGACAGGAGCGCTTGATTTGACGGTAAGCAGGAGGATGGAGGAGAAGAAAAATGAGGTGGTGGAGGCAGTTATTGGAGTTGCAACGAGCGAAGAGCAGGCATTAGATCTTAGGATAGTTAGAAGGAGAGATGTGGAAGTAGTTGAAAAAATTGAGAATGAAAGAGATGATAATAATAGAAATGAGATGATTGATAATGAAGTAGTACTTGGTGATATAGAGAGAAGTTCCGAAGTGCGTAGAGAAGAATTAGATGAGCAGAATGCAGAAGAATCCAACATAGTTAGTAAGCCGAGATCAAGAGAAAGAGTAAGACATTCTTTAAAACGAAACAGATCGGTAAGCTCGTCATCATCTAGCTCATCATCTAGTGACGAGTCATCATCAAGTGAAGACGAGAGGGAAAAAAGGGAAAACAAATTCTGCAAGATAATGTGTGACATGGTAAAGAGAACAGGGAACATTATTGGTAGCCAAATTATATCCAATGCTGAAATGATAAATAAATTACAAAGAACAGTTGATGAACTTAGAAAAGAAGTTGCCGAACTAAAGAAAGAGAAAGATAGTAGAGATGGAAAGGAGGTAAAGAGTGATGTAGAAAAAAGGAGTGATGTAGGAGAAAAGAGTGTTACAGGAGTTAAGAAGAGTAAGGAAGGAAATGGTGAAAAAAATGATAAAAAGAGTCTAGGAGAGAGGAAAGAAGTGGTGTTGAAAGAACCGAGTAATATAAAGGATAAGAGAAACGAGGAAAAGGAAAACAGAGGGGAGAACAGAGGGGAGAACAGAGAAGTCGGTAGACGCCAACACTTTAACGTAAAGGGTCAACACAACAACTCGAGATACTACAGTGGTTGGAATAGGCGCAGAGAGTGGATGCCGTACAATAAGAAATATTGACAAACTTTGAACTAGGGGATACTTGTTATTTTTATTCCTGATGTATTGTCTTGAGGCAGTTGGAACTTTGCCTCTCTGAGGCGGGGGTAATGTGATGTGCCACTCCCCACCCATTTTTTATGAACTGTTGTTTTAAATAAACAGTGTGCTTATTAATAAAAAACTCTTTTAACTAAGTTCAAAGTTTATCATAAAGTCAAAGAGATACATTAACTTTATAATTCACGAGTAATTTTACCGTTAGATTTATTAATTATTCCTCTATTCAAAGAAGAACATTCTAACTTGTAACCATTGTATTGATATTCCGCCATTTTGTTTGCTTACAAATATGACGTCACACATTAGTTGATTTATGACATCATCATCTTGTGAAAAACTTTTCTTTACCTGTGGGGTACAAAGTGGGGTTACATTTAATTTATTAATCTTAAAATTTCATATCTCTACACATAATAACGATATTTCATTTGTTTCATGTTTTTATTAATTCCAATAATTATTAGCTTAATGTAATATGTGTTTAAATATATTGTTTTATGTTGTATTTTTATCTTTAATGTAAGTTGTGGGAGGTGTTGGATCTGTAGGAAATCCTTTAGGAGCCTTTCCTACACTTTTCTTAAAGTCTCCCACAGTGTGGGACAGTGTAGGAATCTTGACTATAAAAGAGCAGTTTTCCTGTCGGAAGTCACTCCGCTCAGATCAAAACATTCGTAGCAGAAGCTCATTCAAATATTATTTAGATAATATTTACAAGTTATATCTTTGGTAATTTTGATAGCATATTTTCTTAAATACTTAAGCATTATTAATAAAGATTAAAGTAATAATTTTTGTTCTAAAAGAGTATTTGTTGCATAAAGTTAAGCATAGAAACTTCAGAGTTCTTTGAAAGTTTAAACAGTTGTTTTAAATTTATTTTGCAAAGAGCACATGAGTATAGTATATTAAAGTTGAAATTTCCATTAAAGTAATATTTTTATTGTTAATTTTATTGTATTAAGTTGCCGACACCTCCCAACGTACGCACACAGATCTATATTCTATTTTATAAAGTTGTCGCGGTAAAGTCGATATTTGAAATATTAATTGATGCTATTTTAACAGCCGTCACTGGTAGAGATATACATCATTTTACCGAAGTAATATAAATTCGGATAATTATATATAGATTGTTGATAATACTATATAAGTAGCAGACTTTAATTATTTAATATAATTATACAACATTTGTTCAAGATTAAATAATATATATATAGTTCATTACGGTGAGTCCGTAAATAAACATCGTTAACTTGAAATTGTCTTGGTTGTTACTTGAGAAGTTTTATATTAAATACCCTTTATATATCATCCAAAAATAAAACAATAAACTGATGCGGAGTCATCCTCGGATAGCCCAATCCGAGGAATTTTTGTGATCGCTTGGTGTCCGTCCGAGTCCGTCATATAAATATATGAAATACAGAAGCTCTATACCAAGAAGAACTATTCTTCTGAGTTAGCGAATACATGCTAGTAGAATAAAAGACATACAAGAGACAGCGGTACGCAACATTTGTTGCATTCATAACAAAGCCAATTAGGACATCTCAGGCAGCAGCCCAAAAACAATCATTGAAAGAAGTGCGCTTAAATTGCAAATCCAACTGTGATACCAAATGGTGTTCCTGTATGAAACATGGATAAAACTGCATTGGTCGGATGTGGGTCATCTCATGGTAAAAATTGCTCTCTATTTCCATAAAGATTACAGATAATGTTATCAAAAACGATATTAACGATATTCACTGAATAAATAATATACGTTACCAAGTGCAAACATTGAAGTACAGAAAATAATGTTCAACAACGTTTAACTTCACATGAATTTGAATATTTGATAGAGAGTACAACATTTTGAGTTTGAGCTTGCCGATGATCAAAGATAAACAAGATAATTTACACTTTTGAAATTCAATAGATAAACTTTATAACACGGTTAACATTGTTATTGGCAATTAACTATGACTATGTAGCATGATTCATTATTATATGATTCAGACGTGTTGTACACAAACTTATTATTTTATTGCATGATGGTGTATGCTCTAGTGTTTTATCATCATATTTATTACATGCTTTTCGGTGGTTTATAGAAATATATCAGTGAAATACTGGTAATTTCACTGTTTTAAACAGTGAAATTACCAATTTGCTAATTTCACTGTTTTGAATTTAAGCCCGTTACGTTGTTTTAGTGAAATAACAGCGTGCACAGTACTGGAAACCAGCTTAATGACGTGACGTCATAAATGACGTCACGTTGTATTAGTATTTGGCGCGCTTTTCATTTAGTACTAGGTTTAAAAGTCTTTTTAAACGTTTCTTTGCATGTAATAAAAAGAAAATTTGTTTAGTTTAGTGTAAGATTGAAATATATTTCTCCTCGTGAACACCAAAAGTTCATATTTCACTCGTGGCTGCGCCACTCGTGAAATATACCTTTTGGTGCTCACTCGGTGAAATATATTCCGATCTTACACTGTACTAAACAAATATCCTCTATATAATATACATGTTGTTCACAAATGTCTGACATTGGATCTGTAATACGTTTAAATATATAAAAAATGGTTATTGTTATTCTAATTCTAATAATGTAAATGTGTATACGAGTATGTGTAAAGTTTGGTATATGAATATCTTAATATATTCCTAATATTTTTGGCAAGTCACTTTCATGACATTAATTTCATATATGTCAATTATTATTGCCTTTTGAGCTATTCAACATTCACATATAAATATATACCTGATGAAATTGTTAAGAACGATGTATTAATGAATAATTACATTGATTACGATGATGAAATTTTATTATCTCTTCCAAAAAGTTGCTGTATCGACACATGTATGAAATATGGGTAGGGTACATTATTTACCTCGTCTAAAAGCAAACAAGTTGTGAAACAGCATGAAAAATATCTACAGTAAGTCAATCACAAATCATATTAATTATATTAGCGAGCTCAAACAAAGTATGAAGAAACTTACAAAGACTTAAGCAGTCATACAAAACATATCAAAATCTGGAAAAAAGTGATCCCTCGGAAGCATTAATCACAACAAAATTACATAAGAATTGCAGACCCGGTTTGATTGAGTCTGTACATGAGGGATAATGAATAAGTGAAACATCCCTCACGCCCCCTAGCACCGGCTTGAGCGGTACTCAATTCTCAACACTTAATAGTGCTGGCATCAATGATCCCGAAGGACCAGAAAAATATAACAACACTGATGTGAAGTACTGGGCAACTTTTTTCAGCTGCCACACAGCACTTGACACCTGCTGTTGTGAAGTATAAAAATCTGGAAAAAAGTGATCCCTCGGAAGCATTAATCACAACAAAATTACATAAGAATTGCAGACTCGGTTTGATTGAGTCTGTACATGAGGATAATGAATAAGTGCAACATCCCTCATGCCCCCTAGCACTGGCTTGAGCGGTACTCAATTCTCAACACTTAATAGTGCTGGCATCAATGATCCCGAAGACCAGAAAAATATAACAACACTGAAGTGAAATACGTGGCAACTTTTTACAGCTGCCACACAGCACTTGACACCTGCTGTTTTGCAGTATAAAAATCTGGAAAAAAGTGATCCCTCGGAAGCATTAATAACAACAAAATTACATAGGAATTGCAGACTCGGTTTGATTGAGTCTGTACATGAGGGATAATGAATAAGTGCAACATCCCTCACGCCCCCTAGCACCGGCTTGAGTGGTACTCAATTCTCTCAACACTTAATAGTGCTGGCATCAATGATCCCGAAGGACCAGAAAAATATACTAACACTGAAGTGAAGTACGGGGCAACTTTTTACAGCTGCCACACAGCACCTGACACCTGCTGTAGTGCAGCATAAAAGTCTGGAAAAAAGTGATCCCTCGGAAGCATTAATCACAACAAAATTATTGGCGACGCCGGTGAGCGGCGTCGTCTATTATGGAACGCTTTTTATTTTTGCCTATGGAAGGAGCTGTTATTATTAGCAGTTAATTTCATGTTGTGTTAATTAGTTTTATTTTGATTCGTAAAAATCAAGTAAACAAATGTGTTATTATATTTGTATTTAATAACTTTTTATAAAAAAGCATGTGCATTGCTGATATTATTTTCACGAAATTTCAGGTTAAGTTTAACAGCTTGTCCCTTAGTTTAAATGACAATACTAAAAACCCGGATTTCGAATATCGTTGTGGTGTAGATTAGGCCGTATCAGTTCATTCATTCATTTATACATGTTCAAAATTTTCCTACAGAAGAAAGTTCACCTGCAATTGAGTATAAGGATTTAATGGAACTGTTGGTAAACGATTATCCTATTGATTTTATTCCTTATTACATTTATCTGTTGCGCAGAAATGGTTGTTTTTACAAAGGGTACCAGTATCCGGATGTTGAAAGCTATCCGATTTTCTGCAATTACTGCTGACCCATGGCCATCTATTTTTTTATGAATACATTACCATTAATTTGCATGGCTTTTGATAAAACTGAACCTGCCAGCCATTTCATAATTTTGCTGTTTTAGGGTGTTCTTTTGGGTTTCAGGTTTTTTTATTTTAGGGGAAGTTTTAACTCATTTTACTAAATTATTTGTTCTTTTCTGTCTATCATGGGGTATTACTTATAATACTATTTTGTTGTATATAATTCACCAGTTTTAAGGTCATCAAAAGCATGTTAATGTTAGGATTTCATATTTATTTAATATAAACTGGGGAATTAATAATGTTTATGTGCATACATGTATAATCTTAGACAGTAGTATATTGATATGTTGAGACTATATTTTCTGCATTTAAAGAGATACAGTTATGTCATTATTATAAAGGTATGAGACTTTCATTTAAAGTTATAAATGATAAAAACATGTATTGATTGAAAATGTCCTTAAAAATTGGATCAAGCAATGTAATTAATAAAGTCTCAAAAAATCATAT